TCTATAACAATTACTTTACCTAGTTTAATAATTTTATACAATTTTTTTCCTTTATAAAAATACTTTGCCTAGTTTAATAATTTTATACAATTTTTTACTTTGTAAAAAAAAATTAAATTAACATAAGCGGTATATCACGATCGATCGAGACGAGAATTATCCGGAGACTAATCGTAATCGATATCTTATTAAATTTAAAAATGATTATTTTTCGCAAAAAAAAAAAAAAAAAAAGAAAAGACGTACCTTTTGTATCTATAACAATTACTTTACCTAGTTTAATAATTTTTTCCTTTATAAAAATACTTTTACCTTACCTAGTTTAATAATTTTATACGATTTTTTACTTTGTAAAAAAAAAAAATTAAATTAACATAACATGTATTACCATCGAGACGAGAATTATCGGGAGGCTAATCGTAACGATCTGTCACGATTACGCGATTAATAAACATGTTCTCTCTCGCCCGCATTCCCTATCGATCGATCGTGCACGATTACCGATCCGAAGCTCAAGCTGTTACACTATACGTATTATTATACCCGGCGAAGGCCGATCGCCCGCTCGCCAAGGCGCCGTTCGCCGCTAAATCGCGACACATCGAGCCGATCACCGCGAGGGGCTTGCAAACTTTGCCAATATAATGGCCAGGATTGGCGGCGGCGGGTCGACGGACGCCCCCTCCGCCAATTAATCCTCCCCGAAAAACGAACTTTTACCAATTCACCCTCGAACTAGCCAACTCGTCCCGAGATATTGCTCGCGCGATCGCTCACTCGTCCAACCGTGACGAGAAAACTGTTCCGTGGAAGCGAAGGGTGGTTCGAGGGGGGGAGGGGGGGGAAAGGCGTATTACGAAGTATAATGATAAAAAAAAAAAAATAATAATAATAGGAAAGATACGCACAGAGAAAAAGAGATCCTGTGTTACACGCGCATCCGTAGGATGGAGGAGAAAGAGAGAGAGAAAAAGGCGAATCAAAACGGGTAGGAGGTGTGCACACCTCTTACGAGTTTACGAGGCCTACGCCGAACAGAACGAGCGGACAGTTACCTTTCTGTTTCGAGACCGCGAGGATCTACCTCCCGCTATAGCCGTGAGTTAAATGGTGAATTTTGCTTGTCGGTGAGTTGTTCCATATAGATTTTCGTGTAACACGTAATACGACGTTGTAAAATTGGTAAGGAAACGACGATAGTGAGCTGGGATTGTTAGGAATTGTTTTTGAGATCCAGAGATCTAAAGACCGGATGATAAAGAAGATGAAGGAGAAGGATTGAAGAAGAAGGCAGTTCGCAATTTTGTTGACCCGCGATGCTTTAATTTACGATCTTTGTTGTATACATTTTTGAGGAACAAAATTCATTATCCATTGGACAAGATAATCTGTATGAATTTTTTAATTTTAATTTTTCCCTTGATATTTGATTATACGGCGAAAATGAAGCAACTTTTTTCAATTTAATAAATTTCAATTAAACGAAATTCGAGCCGATATCACGGAACTGGGTTAAACGAGAAAATGAAGAGCTTGTATTGTACGTTGTAGATAAAGCTGTGAACGTATCAACACATTAGAACAAATGTGACAAAATATCATGTACAGATTCTAACGAATGCGAAGAAATTTGATTAATTTAAAAAAGAATTAAATTAAGTAAACGAGAAATAAATAATTAACTAATTAAACTCATAAAAAAATCTAAAATCGTCCAAATTAATTATCGTATTTTTATATCGTCCTATTTTTTAAAAGTAATCCAAAGAAACGGTCAACCGGCGAAATTTCGTTATTCTTTGGGCGAGTATTGCACGCGATAACGCACCAACAATCGCCGTTGCGCGAAATCGACACAATGTAAGCAGAGTTCGTGTTTTTTTTTTTACAATGGAACGGTTAAAAATACTGATTTGTTGCAAGCGATATCGTTCCGCTGTCGTGAATTAAATTTTGCAACGGCAAATTCTGGCACAACAACTAACATTTAAGGAAACACGATTCGTTAAGTAGTTACTTCCTGCTCGTACTACACATATATATCTTATCTTTCGATCTCGTTCCCTTTGCAGATCGTTCGA